CAGAGATCCTCTGCCTCTGCCTCTGCCTCCCGAGTGCTGGGATTAAAGGTGTGCACCACCACCTCCTGGTGACATTTGTTTTCTTATTGATGGAGAATTTATTTATTTGAAATAATTTCACTATGTAACCCTAGCTTTGAACTCACAGAAATTGGCCCGCCTCTGTCTCCTAGTGCTAGGATTAAAGGCCTTCGGTACTACAATTGGCTTTTTGTGGGGCATGGAGCAGTCTGTGTAGTCCTGGCTAGTCTGGAACTCACATAAATCTTCCTCCCTCTGCTTCCTGAGTGCCGAGATTACAAGCATAAGCCCAACACCCTGCTTGAAAATGATTTTTTAATGATTCTATTTTAGCTTGTCCAGACTAGAATATAGATACTGAAAGCATTTAATAAACCAGTGGATAATACATGTATATATATTAAATGTATGAAGCAATAATAGAAAGTTAGAGATCTTTAAAAATGTTTAAGTGTGGTTATTGCATAAAATTGTTGAGTGCTGCCAGGCAGTGGTGGTGTACACCTTTAATCCCAGCACTTGGGAGGCAGAGGCAGGTGGATCTCTGTGAGTTTGAGACCAGCCTGGTCTACAGAGAGAGTTCCAGGATAACCAGAGCTACACAGAGAAACCCTGTCTCGAAGACAAGCAAAATAAACTGTTGAGTGCTAAGGAAAGACAAATAAACTACACAGTGTTGAATACAGACCTCAATTACTAAAAGTTATGTATGGGGATTAAATAAATTTATTACCTCATAAAAGTAAAAAGGTAAGGCTAGGATTATAGGACATCATTTTCTCCATCTCAGGGCATATCTGTTACAGTCTCTAGCACATTGGAGTTTTTATAAATGATTCATTAGTGATTAATCAAGGAAATATTGTTTATTACAGGTAATGTTTCATGTTGTTTAGAGTATAGGCAGGCAGATGGAGACAGGAAGTCTGAGGACAGTGTTACTACTTGTGCCAATTACTTCAAGGTCCCAAAGACTATGCATGCAATAAAGCAGGGCAGGACAGTTTTTTTTGTTTGTTTGTTTTTTTAGTTTTTTTTGAGACAGGGTTTCTCTGTAGCTTTGGAGCCTGTCAGGAACTAGCTCTTGTAGACCAGGCTGGTCTCGAACCCACAGAGATCCGTCTGCTTCTGCCTCCCAAGTGCTGGGATTAAAGGCGTGCGCCACCACTGCCTGGCAGGGCAGGACAGTCTTATGTAACACTGAAGATTCTGAAGATACGGCTTCAAGGTATGTGACTGGATAGCTAATTGTCCTTCACTCTTGCCGTTCAGTCTGCTTCTATTTTGGGAGGTGATTGAGTAGGTGGACTAGAGTGGTGGTGGTACAGGGTGTGACCCCCTTCCTTCCTTGCTGGGTTTTAGATATCTTCAACATTTCCTTTTGTGGACCTAAACTGACATTTTCTCTTTGTTATGCACATATGCTCATGATAACCAACTATAAGTTACAAAGATTTAATTTCCTTCATAAGGTGTCTAGAACTGTAATATTTCCAGAATCATGTGTTTCAAAGAGATCTGCTTTACAGAAGGTGAGAATAAGGATCTAAATGGGAGCTGTGGGTCTGATTTATATACTCCCTCTGTGTGTTTTGTTTTTTTATATTTTTTTTTTTTTTTTTTTTTTTTTTTTTTTTTTTGGGAGACAGGTTCTCTCTGTGTAGCCCTGGCTGTCTTGGAATTCACTATGTAGACCAGGCTGGCCTCGAACTCAGATTCAACTGCCTCTGCCTCCCTAGTACTAGGATTAAGGTGTATGCCACGAGCACCCGACTTTGTGTTTTTATATTTTACTACCTGCACATTTGTGATTACTTTTTTAAGTTTGGGTGTTGGGTCCTCTGGAACTGGAATTATAGACAGTTACGAGCTGGCATGTGGGTGCTGGAATGGAACCTGGATCCTCTGGAAGAGCAATTAGTGCTCTTAACCACAGAGTCATCTCTCCAGCCTGTGATTACTTTTATATGGATAATTACCATCCAGTAAAATGAGGTTGTAGAGTCATTAGCATATTCAGTACGTTTGCTGATGGTGGGTCTGATCTTCAGCTAATTAAATAGACCATTTCCAGGGCTAAGAGATAATATGGTGGTTAAGAACACTTGCTGTTCTTACAGAGGACTTGAGTTCAATTTCTAAAACCTATGTCCGGCAACATACAACCAACTGCAAACCTGTAACTCCAGTTCCAAGGGATCACAGACAGTGAAACACACACACACACACACACACACACACACACACACACACACACACTTTTGTTAGTCAATTTTATTTATTTTTTAATTTTTTTATTAATTTATTTTTTACATTCCAATCCCAGTTCTCTCTTCCTCCTCTCCTTCCCGCCTTCCAGTCTGCTCCTCAGAGAGGGTAAGGCCTCCCCTAGGAAGTCTTCTAAGTCTGTCCCATCATCTCATTGAGGCAGAACCAAGGCACCGCTCCACCCCCTAAACCTCTGTGTCTAGGTTGAGCAAGATATCTCTCCATATAGAATCTTGGACCATATAGATCCATATAGATCTTGGACCCACTGCCAGTGGCCTCATATATTGTCCCAGTCACACCATTGTCACCTATATTAAGGGAGTCTAGTTCAGTCTTATGCAGGTTCCCCATTTGTCAGACCAGAGTCAGTGATCTCTCACTAGCTTGGGTCAGCTGTTTCTGTGAATTTCCCCATCATGGTCTTGACTCCTTTGTTCTTGCTATCCCTCCACCCTCACTTTGCTTGTACTCTAGAAGCTTGGCCCATTGGTTAGTTGTGGATTTCTGCATCTGCTGCCATCTGTTTGTGGAAGAGGGTTCTAGCTTCTCTGGGGTGGTGGATTGTAGGCTGGGCATCTTTTGCATTATGTCTGGTATCTACTTATGAGTGAGTGCATACTATATTTGTCTTTCTGGTTTTGGGTTACCTCTCTCAGGCTGCTTCTTTCCTAGTTCTGTCCATTTGCCTGCGAATTTTAGGATGTCATTGTTTCTTACCACTGAGTAGTACTCCATTGTGTAAATATACCACATTTTCTAAGTCCATTCTTCATTTGAGGGGCATCTAGGTTGTTTCCAAGATCTGGTTATTCCAAATAATGTTGCTATGAACATAGGTGAGCAAATGTCCTTGTAGTATAAGTGTGCCTCCTTTGGGTATATGCCCAACAGTGGTATTGCAGGGTCTTGAGGTAGTTTGATCCTTAATTTTCTGAGAAATCACCACACTGATTTCCACAGCAGCTGTATAAATTTGCACTCCCACCAGCAATGGAGGATGTCATTGGTGTAAGATGGAATCTCAGAGGGGTTTTGATTTGCATTTCCCTGATGACTAAGGATGTTGAACATTTCCTTAAGTGTCTTTCTGCCATTTGAGATTGTTCTGTTGAGAATTCTGTTGGATTATTGGGTAGTTTGATGTCTAGTTTCTTGAGTTTTTTATATATTTTGGAGATCAGCCCTCTGTCAGATGTGGGGTTGGTGAAGATCTTTTCCCATTCTGTCTTGTTGACCATGTTCTTTGCTTTACAGAAGCTTGTCAGTTTCAGGAGGTCCCATTTATTAATTGTTGCTCTCAGTGTCTGTGCTACTGGTGTTATATTTAGGAAGTGGTCTCCTGTGCCTATGCATTCAAATGTATTTCCCACTTTCTCTTCTATGAGGTTCAGTGTGGATGGATTTATATTGAGGTCTTTGATCCATTTGGACTTGCGTTTTGTGCATGGCGATAAGCATGGATCTATTTGCATTCTTCTACATGCTGACAGCCAATTATACTAGCACCATTTTTTGAAGATGTTTTTTGTTTTTGTTTTTTGTTTTCAAGACAGTGTTTCTCTGTGTAACAACTCTAGTTGTCCTGGAACTCACTCTGTAGACCAGGCTGGCCTCAAACTCACAGAGATCTGCCTGCCTCTGCCTCCCGAGTGCTGGGATTAAAGGCATGTGCCACCAACACCTGGCCCATTTTCCATTTTCTAGCCTCTTTGTCAAAAATTAGGTGTTCATAGGTGTGTGGGTTGGTATTGGGGTCTTCTGTTCGATTCCATTGGTCCACCTGTTTTTATACCAATACCAAGCTGTTTTCATTACTATAGCTCTATAGGAGAGCTTGAAGTCAGAGATAGTGATGCCCCAGATGATCCTTTATTGTACAGCATTGTTTTGCTATCCTGGGTTTTTTGTTTTTCCATATGAAGTTAAGTATTGTTCTTTCAAGGTCTGTGAAGAATTCTGCTGGGATTTACATACTTTTTAAAATAAAATCTTTAGGCCATTTTCAAAAGGCCATGTTAATTCTTCTTTTTTTTCTTCTTGAGAACACTGCCCCCAGTATTTTTCCCTTTTATTGAATCTGTCAAGTCTTGTT